ATGTCAGTGAGGTGAGGTTCCTACGCAGATCCCAAAGGATACTAAAGGACAGTACCCACCCAGCCATAGCCTGTTCACCCTGCTGCCTTCTGGGAAGAGATACAGAAGATTCTGCTGCCACACCACCAGACTGCAGAGCAGCTTTTCCCCCCAAGCTATCAGACTCTTAAACTCTAATTCATCCTCAGCACTGCTCCACTGATGATAGTTTATTTCTGTTACGATTTTTCATAATTGATTCTTTATTAATGTATATTGTCTGCTATGTAGCAGAAGGGAGTTACAAAACTCAATTTCACTCTATAACTTGTTATACTGTGACAATAAACCTACCTACCTACCTACATGATGCACCAATACATAATTATTTAAATAGAGAATTAGAGTAGAATTGATGGATTTGATACATACCTTCAGTATCTTTGGCTGCCTTTTCTCTTCTCCTACATGCTCTTGCAATGTGATCTTTGTTGGTGAAGAGCATGTAGCATTCCCTATGGAAGCCCACATCACTTCATATTGTCGCATACCGGCTGTCAGTCGCATCCCGCTTTGTTGTTATGTAGTTTATGTAAATAAATTAGTTGACACAAGCCTACCCAAGGGTGATCACTAACACTAGAGGTCTTCTGACGGCAAGTGCACAATGTATAGTATAGCTCGTGTAGACAAAAATTATATTAAGTCTATTATCCATCCATCCATCCATCCATCGTCAACCACTTATCCTGCGTACAGGGTCGCGGGGGGTTGGAGCCAATCCCAGCTGACATTGGGCGAGAGGCAGGATACACCCTGGACAGGTCGCCAGTCCAGGGTGTACCAGGATAAAGCCTATTATAATAGTAGGAATTCGTTATCCAGAGAGCTACGTTACGGTATCAACTAGACTGGTTTATGTTTTCTGATGCTACGATTTAGTAGTCCTACAAATTTGCCTGTTTAAAAATGTAAGACTTTATATCTCTTTCTTCATCAAATGTGCATACTTAAATGTTGGAAACAATGCTTACACTACTTAGAAGAATTTTTACATGCCATCTGTAAACAAATTATTTAGTTTCTTGGCAGGGATCAATGAAATTCACAATTTTGGGGTCTGGCCCACGGCCTATAATGTTAAGAACCTGAATTTAAGGAGCCACATTAAGACAATCACAAAGTCAGCCTACTATCACCTGAAGAATATTTCAAGGATTAAAGGACTTATGTCTCAGCAAGACCTGGAAAAACTGATCCATGTATTTATCTTCAGTCGACTACTGTAACAGTGTCCTTACAGGGCTCCCTTAGAAATCCATCAGACAGCTGCAGCTGATTCAGAACGCTGCTGCTCGAGTCCTCACTAAGACCAAAAAAGTCGCATCACTCCAGTTCTGAGGACTTTACATTGGCTTTCTGTCTGTCAAAGAATTGATTTCAAAATCCTGCTGTTGGTTTATAAAGCACTGAATGGTTTAGGGCCAAAATTCATTTCTAATCTTCGGCTTCGTTATGAACCATCCAGACCTCATGTCCTGGTTTATCTGTAGTGTCCAAGGGTTTTTGGGGTTTCCACCTGACAAGTTGGGTTTACAGCGCGTAGCCTCTGACATAGCCAAACTCAGTGGACCCAAATATTGCTATGGACCCGAGTACAGACTAGCTAGAGAGAGTAGATACTTCTCTCTTTATTCTCTTTTGAAAGTAATTGTAACTCACTTATTTGCTCAATCCTTCAGCTTGTTTTTATTTTCTATTTAACTCTTTAACCCTGACTGTACACTGCACTGTAACTTTTACTGTCCTGTTTTACCCTCTTTTTTTAAATCCTGTATTTATTTTCTATTTCACCCTTTTCAAAATTATATTTTAATGTGTTTCTTTTTCAATTTCCCTGTGTTGCTTTTATGTTTAATGTGAAGTACTTTCCATTGCCTTGTTGCTGAAATGTTCTATACAAACTTGCCTTGCCGAAAACAACGCTGCTGTACAGAACGCGTTTTGTCACTACACTGCGTTGACAGATGTGGACAGATGACGGCAGAAATATATATATATATATATATATTATTATATATATATCAGTGTGGATTTTCCAAGATGGAAAGCGCTGACACAGGACTAATGTTTTAAAAGTGGCGCTGAAGTTGCCTGTTTTCTGCTGGACAGGTAATCAAGTTACTCCAACATTAGCAATGCAAATGAAAACTGATGTGTCAGTGTTGTGGAATATGTAGTTGGATTAATTTCGTGTACCGTTATTCTCCACCACTGAGTCTTTTCTTTGCTACGAGGACAGCAATGTGCCAGTTACGTCCTCCTTTCCGACATTCAGCTGATGAATATCATTGGCAATAAAACTGTACAACATGGAAGTTCCAATCAGCCAGCTAAAATTCACATTTTACTGCCTTGGTGGAAAACACTCATTTATCTTTACTGCTAACGGAGTTATGATAACAAGACAGTGTGCCTATTAAGTGACCAATAATGTTTACTTTCAAAATTTGCATTATTTGCCAATATATATATATTTTTTAAGCATTTGTTTGTTGGAGTTTGCTTCGCTACTATGCACACTAATGTGTAATTTGATAATTCACATTAAAAACGTGGCACCGTTTTACCACAAGCTAAAATTATCACTATTAGTACTACTATGTTTTTCTGTTGTATTTTAAAAACATTTTTTTTTTAAATTGGTACGATTTGCAGATTGCTTATCTAATTGAACAAAGTGGAGGGGAGCCTTGATCCTCACCTTACAATGCCCTTGTAAACTTCATGTAGTGTGTGGTTTATAATGGACTGTGGTACAGAAACAGTGAATCTTACATTTCCCTGTTCATCTGTCAGTGGTCATACTTGCACTAGATGTAATAGTTGTTGAGATGTTCTTTATTTACTTTGATATGTTAGTCCAGATGAGCCAACCCTCCAAGATGTAACAAAATGTATGACTACATAACAGTAAAATAATGTATTACAGGGGTATGTCATTAACTCTGACATACATGGCAATTGTAAGTCGCTTTGGATAAAAAGCGTCAGCTAAATGTAATGTAAATGTAATGAAAAACCTTTCGACTCCGGATAGCTCATCGTCACTTTCCAAAATATTGCACAAAGCTTCCACTGTGAAAAAAGTTTTCCTCTTTGCCATGATGAAGGAACTGAAATACTTTAAAGAAAATTATAAACGCAACACTTGTTTTTGCCCCCATTCATCATGAGCTGAAGACTAAGACTTTCTCTATGTACACAAAAGGCCTATTTCTCTCAAATATTGTTTAAAAATCTGTCAAAATCTGTATTAGTGAGCACTTCTCCTTTGCCAAGATAATAAATCCACCTCACAGGTGTGGCATAGCAAGATGCTGATCAGACAGCATGTGTATTGCACAGGTGTGCCTTAGGCTGGCCCCAATAAAAGGCCACTACAAAATGTGCCTATGAGATGCCTCCCTGATGGTACTGCATGATAAATAAGTATCTGCCTGTACTTGTCAGCATTGAGGAGACCATTCATTCTGACCAAATCTTACCACCAAGCACAGACACACCTGCCCAGAGCCAACACAAATAAATGTCACAGTTCCCCCCCATTAATATTTGTGGGCATGATAGTCAGTGACATGGTTATGTTAGAAGCCTACCTCTTACCTCTTAGTAGCATGTGTGTGTTTTCGCATGTATCTACGGTGGCCGGGAAGTGCAAAGCAACATTACAAAGACTGAAACACTTTTACAAAGCTTGAGACAAAGTTACATTTTGGAAAACATTTTTACTCAACCATAAAACACAATTACATGGGCGAAACACTTTTACGAAGGGCAAAACATTTTTACCAAGGACAAAACAAATTTACATTTTAGAAAACAAATTAGCAAGACGCAAAACACTTTTACCCGTCCCGAAACAAATTTACAAACGATCGATCCCTCACGGAAAGGGAATGTACCACATACCGGAAGTGACGAGTGAACGCGGGTGATAGGTGTTGTTGGTGAGCGCGGTTAATTCGTGTTTTCAATGTGGTGAATATGGCGTGAATATGAAGCATATAGGAATTTAAGTTTTTGGTGACCGAACATGGACTGCGACCGAGGGATGTTTTGCCCGTTTTGTGGTAAACACATGAGCAGCTTAACCCGGTTTTGCTTTACGTGCGGTCGGTGTTTGGAGTTTTTAAAGGACGCGAACCAGACGGAAACACCAGACATACTGCATCATTGCGTTCAGTATTTTAACGAGGGTCACTCGTACGCTGTAATCGTGGACATGATGTCAAGTCTACACGGTGTAAACATCAGCTTGAGGACGCTTAAAAGTAAACTGAACGAAGCCGGGATGTACCGCAGAAAGGATTATTCCTCTCCAAACGCCGTGAGTAACGCAATCAGATCTGAACTTCGTGGACCTGGACAACTATTTGGCTACCGCACGATGTGGCAGGTACTTAAACAAAAGTACAGTCTTGGAGTGAAGAGAGATGATGTGTCGAATTTCCTCCGGGAGCTCAATCCCCGAGGGTGTGAGAGCAGAGTACGCAGAAGGTTTACAAGAAGAACCTATCACTCAATGGGACCTAACTATATGTGGCACGCAGATGGTTACGACAAACTTAAGCCATTCGGTTTGGCCATTTCGGGATGCATAGATGGATTTTCACGTAAAGTATTGTGGCTTGAATGTGTGAGCAGCTTAACCCGGTTTTGCTTTACGTGTGGTCGGTGTTTGGAGTTTTTAAAGGACGCGAACCAGACGGAAACACAGGGGACTTCTCGACAGCCGGACAGTGCTAAGCAAAGTAAGTGTAGCATAATGCTAGCTATCTGAGGACATATGGACATAATTGGGTAGTAATGCTAATGATTTTTCGAGCGGCTTCTAACTTTTTACAGTCTCTATGCTTCTAACTTTCTATTTTGAAACGGAACTCTATCCATTTCAGCAGAACAACCATGCCCATCATACAAACAGTTCATGGAGTATAGAAGCTCGAAATCAAAAAAAAGACAGTCTTTTAACTATGGGCCAAAAGGAAGATCTAGGCCTAAAGAAAGAAAAAACGTCCAGGTAAGTTGTACTGACCGTCCTATAAAATTTTGCAATGTTCTATATGTATTTGTGTGTGTGTGGATTTTACCTATACATGAATTATATCTTTGTTATATTACTAGATTACTAAACGTAGGATTGATGGGGCCACATGGAACTGACGGAACTGATTTAAAACCTCTAAGAGGGAAAACACTCCCGTTATTTACAGACCCAGAGATAGCAGCACCTGATCTACTGAAACAAGCTGTCCAGAAAATGAGAACATTTAACAAGGACATGCACGAAGGACCTTATGTCCTTTTGTATCCAGACTGCTCAGAGGTGGTCCATGTGCCTGGGTCAGAAAGGCCATTTAAATTGGCAGAATATAAAAAGGAAATAGGAAAGGCATATTCCAGGATTACTTTTTTCATTTGCCTAGAAAAGCACTTTAAAAGAGGTTAGTGGATCTCATAATTCAATATTTTTAAATATTCAAATACTCTGCTGAAGGATAAATAATGGTTGTTTGAGTACGATACCTCAGATTCTGATTCTGAAATTGTCATCACAAGAAGGAGCAGAGCTGAATTCAATCGAGCTGACACTTTGGTACATCTGTTAGTTCTTTTTTAAACCAATTATGTATGTTTGTATTTATTTATTTTCATATCATTTATTAGATTTATTGGATTTTAAGCATAACATCAATATCCTGATCAATATTTTAGTGAAAAGGGCTTGTTTTGATTATTTTGCCGTTACTATTAAACAGTAACACAGACAACCATTCAGCATTGATATACTGTGTCGTAATGTAAAAAAATGATGTAAGCTGTTGAAAGTTGTTCATTTTATCCGTTTCCTCTCAGGTTTTTGAACCACAAAATCGAAGTACTCCCAAATACAAACTGGAAGATGAAAGGTAGGTGTTGCACACTTGGACACAAAGGAACTTTCAGGCTTGCATGGGTTGAAATTATTTATTTACGTCTTGACTGGAAATGATAATAATAATTCATATTTTATTGGGCTACAGTACTTTCACTACCAGGTGCATTATCAAAAAAAATTTTTTTTCATTTAATTCACAAAACTGCTAAAACTACTAGGAGATATTTCACTACTTATTCACAGACACATTATACATACATTTATATTTCTGCACATAAGCTCAACGTTGCTACATGCTATCAGCCTACTGAAATACAGTTGCTCTTGCAGGTGAATAAACACAAATGACACAAATTAACCAAACCATTAAAAAAAACACATGAGAATGAAGTGGGGGGTATCCACTGTCCCACATCATTTTCGTTTCTACAAAGGTACTATAGGCCTTTATTTAATTATAACTCTGAAACTTGCAATACAAGTACTGTAATAGTTAAAAATAGTAGTTTGAGCTTTCTCTTATTTTATACCTTTTCCATTCAAAAAGAAACTCAAACAAACTCAGATTTGAGTTCAGGAAGTGCTCCTATCCACATGTTCTTAAGAAATAATTTATCTTAAATTATTTAAGTTGTTGATGTGATCAGAGAATTAGCTCGGATGAACTTGAAACAGAAAACGCCATATGTATGCGATTTATAACGAAACAATGTTTTTGGTTTTTTTGTATAAATCTTTTTGTTCCCTCCCTCTACTACTACATGTTACTCAAAACTGCCTTATAGCTTTTATCATGGAGCTAATCATTGTAATATGTTTTATCATGTTTCAGAGATGCACCAGGACAATCATCAACAATTCAGCCAGGACAGGTAATAAGGCAGACTGTGGCAGCATGACATTTCTTGCTTTCAGTGTTGTTGTTTAAGACATTTTAATCTGTTTTTCAGATAGTAATATCTGATGCTGAGGATCTGGATCCACCTGAAACAAATCCAGAAAAACCGTCTTGCTACAGGTAAGAAAAAAAAAAAGAAGATAAAGACATAATTTAAATTTATTTAACTGATTACATGGGGAAGACATTTTTGTTTGTAAGATGTTTTAACATAGAAATGGTCATTTCCCAACAGTAAATACACAGACCTGTTTTCACCAAATGTTGAGCAAGAAGACGAAGAGCCGGTTGCTGTCAATGTGACGAATTTTCAACACACAGCAATGTAATATGACAGCTTTTGACTATAGCACTCCAGTTTTTTCACTGTACAATAGTTCTGGTATATCCACAAATGAAGTCACTTTTTGTCATTACAGGGAGGAGACGGGCATTACATTACCTGACATCGTGGCAAACCTGTCACTTCCTATTGATCACAAAAAAGTCAGCCGGTTCAACATCTCAAGGGCTAACTTTTGGGATGGGGCAGTCAGAGGTTTCAAGCGTACAACCTATTCTGAAACCTGTGACATGCTGGTGAAATTTACTGATGATACTGGTGTTCTGGAAGAGGGAATTGACACTGGTGGTCCAAGACGAGAGTTTTTGACTCTACTGATGAAACACCTAAAAGACCGGCCCATTTTTGATGGACCAGAAGGACATCGGTTCTTGGTCTACAATGCAAATGGTATGCATATTGGTTAGATGTGTACTATAGGCTACTAATGGTTGGTTAATGCTCATTGACCATATATATATATATATATATATATATATATATATCACATGACATATGCTTGTATATTACAGTAATGCATTGTTTGTTTTATTTTGCAATATGAATTAATTCACAGCTGTTAGGGAGGATGAATACTACCTGGCAGGAAAGATGATTGCTGTGTCAGTTGTGCATGGAGGTCCAGGGCCCCATTTCCTGTCGGAAGATCTTGTACATTATCTTGCAGGCCAGCCTTCATTCAAAGCAACAAATAACTTAATAACTGATGAAGAAATAGGGAAAGCTTTGCAAGAGGTGAGAGTAGCATAAGGCTAGGGTATGGTAGTGCAGAATTTTACATAGTACCTGCAGTGTTTTGAGACAATGTTTACCTTCTATATCGCGTGCAGAATTTAATTAATTAATTAATTAGTTTTTAATAGTGTAAGATTACACCATGCTATGTATGTCATTAAAAAATAGGCAAGGAGATACAGTGCACACAGTTATTGACAGGGGTGTTTATGCCCATTGTCATGTTTTTCAGATTGAGAATGCTGCTTCATTGGATGCTCTGCAAGAATGTATGATGAGACACAGCACAATGTTACAGACAGCAGGTTGTCTGAGACATGTGGCTACTGTGAAAGAAAGTGTATCTTAGTGTATTTCAACTGATATGTGATGTTCCTTCATTCTGTCAAACTACAGTGCCTTCATTAAATCTTCTCACCTTATAGATGTAATTTAAAATATATATTAATCCTTTTCCTCATCAATCTACACACAATACATCATAATGACAAAGCAAAAACAGAAATTAGATCTCAAGATTCTCCTCCTGACTAATTCTTCCATAGAGGAAAATCAGTCCAGTTACTCATTAAAGTGATCTGAATCTATTTCTGACCCCAGTTCTCATAGAGATCATGACATGCAAAGATGTTTTAGTATCTCTTGTGTGTGTCCCTGAAAATCAGATATAAAGAGTGTGGTGATGCTGATGGGTGTGTAAAGCTGTAGCTTCATACACGAGGAATCCAGGCAGGAATTACTTCCAAAGGTGCTTAACCCTAAAACAGGCAACGTGACTCATGAGTCACATCGTTTTTATTGTCTTTTTTGGGGGCATAAGAATGATTTTTTTTCATCAAATCCTTATCACTTATGACAGCCTGGTCTGTCTTGAGTCTGCTGGTCACATGATTTTTTTCAAATTTTTTGTGATCAATTAGTCAGCCTGACCTAAATAAAACATGGCTGCCAGTGGTGCAGAACAATCAAATAGTAAATATATATATTAAACTAACTTTTCTCCTGGGGAAATTTTTTAAAATAATGCTGACACTAATTGTAAACATTGTATTAAGGTGCTGAAGGAGAAAATTAAGTAATATGTTGTTCATGTTGTTATTTAGTTGTTGTTATTTATGTTTTGAAATGTATGTGACTCCTGAGTCATGTTGCCTTTTTAGGGTATAAAAAAGGAATTAATCTATCTCTATTTAAAATGCACTATTCAAACTTAAATGATTGTAATTCAACAATGCTATGGAATATAGACCTAAGTTTGGTCTTGTTTTAACGAAAACAGTGAAAGTTTGAAAATGTTATGGAAGTTTAAACTTGCATTAAATCAAATATACTACTTTTTGTTTCTCCATTTTTTATAAAATATGTATTTAAAAAATATTTATTACAATAAAATCAAAGCCATATATATAACAAAGTTGTGTTCCAAATTTGAAGTTGATATCACAAAAATTTAAGTTCCCATGAGATTTTGTTTAGGCATAACACAAAAATAGCCACCGGGTGAATAATTGTATGCACTCTGCCATAACAAATTAATAAACTTATGTCCAAATATCACTTCTGTCACAAAATATGTAACCTTGAGACTTAGACCTTTCAGACAATGTGTTTTGTCAAGATAAAAAAAGGTTTTGATCATAAATTATGAAACATGACGATGCCCAAAAGGGGAGGAGCCCATTAAAAGAATTTAGAATACCGATTCTATAGTTACGCAATGTCCAATTTCAAAATGGGTTTCACAGGCTGTTTCGAGTTCGTAAGCTTTCGAATGATATATCATTTGTCAACATTAGATCTGGTGTAAACATGTAGTAACAGTCAACAGATTAATGACTTGGTCCTTTTTTTGTACCCTAATCAGGCAAAGTGCAAAACTATATCTAATTTTTTTTAATTCTTTTGGATATGTTTTATTTAAGTCCAGATGATATAAAAAATTATTAGAATTTGTTTTTTCCTTAGCATTTTCCACTCTTGCCTGTTATAGGGTTAAACAGCGTACTGAGAAAATGGTTCATTAACTTGTGTGAATGTGATATTTAAGTTTTTAATTTTTATCAAATTTGCTACAATTTCTAAAAACCTGTTTTTGCTTTGTCATGATGATGTATTGTGTGTGTAGAGTGAGGAGGAAAAAGATTGATATTACTATTTGAAATTGATTATATAATGCAACAAAGTTTTGAAAATGTGCAAGGGGTGTGTAGACTTTCTGAAGGCATCGTATGAGTGCTCAAGCCACCCAGCTGTCTGTGTCATTCCCATCTTTTGTTTCTGTGTTATACTTAGTTTGTAACAATTAACATTTAATGTGCAACGCAAAAATAGGGTTTCTTAAATCAATTTTCAACATAATTTTTCCCCCCAAATGTATGTTTAAGGTGGATATTAATTGTAGAGAAGAGAATATTTAATAGTTTTCTTTAGATAATTTAAATTCAATTGGCCCTACACAGCAGTGAAATGTTTTTGTTCAATCTGTAGATTCAGAGATGGTCTTTCAACCCTGGAGTTTTTGAATGCACTACAGCAACACCCTACTTTGCTGGCCCCTGTCCTGTACCACTCTGAAAGTCGAATCACTGCTTCTGAACTTGAGAGACTCTTCAAAACTGACCTCAGTCCTTCGGGGAGTAATCGAAGACTTAAAGAAAGTCAAACCATGGCCTACTGGGCAGACTATCTCCTTGATTGTGAAGGTTTGTTAGTTCATTTTTTTGTATAACTAGTTAAGAAAACACATGGCAATGATGTATCTGAATTGTTTTTTTCTTTGCAGAAGACCAGGCTGCTGTGTCTGTGGAAGATGTTTTGATGTTTGCTACTGGGCTGTCCTCACTTCCCCCATCTGGCTTGGAACCACTGCCACAAATAGAGTTCCTGGATGACTCTGTGTTCCCAATGGCAAATACATGTTCAAACACTTTGAAATTACCACTCCTAGACTCATACACTTTGTTTAAGTCACAAATGGACTTTGGAATTCAAAATAGTCCAGGATTTGGCTGTTTCTAAGCTATACGATGGATGACCCCTAGAGTTAAGACTCTGAAACGCATGACCAGCGTGAGCCTACGTGTGACGTACAACAGAAGCGCTGTGCTGTTACACTACGCAAACTCACTCGAGGCCCACAGCGAAGGAAATTAATAGTTGAATGAAGTTGTTATTTTTGTTTGTTTTTGCGCACAAAAAGTATTCTCGTCGCTTGATAAACTTAAGATTGAGTCACTGTAGTCACTCGGACTATTTTAATTATATCTAATAACTTTTCTGGGCCAGCAAGTTTCGATCCCTTAGAAGCCTATGGAGGAGTGATCCAGTTCTCAGATTTAATCAAAAATATCTTAATTTGTGTTACGAAGATGAACGAAATTCTTATGGATTTGGAACAACATGAGGGAGAGTAATTACTGACAGCATTTTCATATTGGGGTGAACTATCCCTTTAAAAGTGCAGTTGCCAAAGTTGTTTTTATAATGTTACAGTATGTGAGCAGATTGTTCTTTTCTCAGTTAACATTTTGAAAATGTTTTAGATCCATGACTCTCAAACTGGGATCTCTTTGTGAATCACTTGTTTTAGATAAAGAAACAAGAAAATTTATTGTTTCTTTACTACAAAGTGTAATAAATGCTCATTACTGTTTTTGACTCATTTGATTAATTTACTTCACACTTAAAAACAATTAAGCTTTGAGTGACAGATTCATAAATATTGTGTTCAGACAGGCAGCAGTGTTTCACCACTTCAAAAAAAACCTTTTTGATCATTTCATAGCTGAGCCATTTCTTTTAGTTTCATATACAGTTCTGATGCAGACTCCCAGTTCTCCGGCTTCTGTATCTGATTGTGTTCCATGGCAAAGTCCAAGTATTCCTGCATGTTTGGGTCCCCACAAGGAGTCATTGACAGGCTGGCCTCAGGAAGGGCATCCAGTTCAGCCTGTTCCACTTGAAATCCGCAGTCTCTGGAGCCAAACCTATGTTAAATAGAGAACATAACTGCAGTTCTTTTCATCTAAGTTAAAACATTATATTAATACTATGATCTGTTTATTACCTGTGTGGTAAGTAGTAGAGTTCATTGGGCATTCCTCCTGGACATGCTGCTGTTCTGGAAGGGCGAATCCTGTGACTGTTCCACAGTCTCACACACTCATCCAAGTCCTTCTGAATAACATCACCAAAGCAATATCTCAATAGGCACTGATGCTCATGACTCCCGTTGAAGTATCCAGCATCTCTAAGGTCCGCAAATAACTCCATCCAGAACTGAGACCTATAGAAATGGATAAAAATGTTTACTTATACTATCAAGTATATACACATATGTTTGAATAATGAAATCAAAGATTAGTTGTAAAGAAATGTATGGTCTGTGAATCTTTTGGTCATTCAATTTTCTTTTCAGGAACAACTACTTTTCCTGAGGGGCAGGACATGCTTTACATTTTTTATAGATCTTTATTGTGCTCGTTTTTCATTACTCGTTCCCAAGAAGAAAACCGAATGACCAAAGATGCAATGACCCTATATGAAGACAACTCACCTTCCCTTTCTAAATATAGACCACCAGGACTCAATACGCTGGTTATTTACAGATGAGCCGTACATGTGGCTGGACGCTCCAGAGTAGTAGTCACTGTGATGGTGGCGTAGGGTACATTGAATTGCAGCCATTATGCCGTTCTCAGTGCCGCAATCAGTCCTCAGTCTCATGGGGATGACACCGAGGTTTCGCACACATGACTTGAAATATTGAGCAATCACTGTTGGGTTATTATTTGTTGGTCCACATTCAAGCCACAATACTTTACGTGAAAATCCATCTATGCATCCCGAAATGGCCAAACCGAATGGCTTAAGTTTGTCGTAACCATCTGCGTGCCACATATAGTTAGGTCCCATTGAGTGATAGGTTCTTCTTGTAAACCTTCTGCGTACTCTGCTCTCACACCCTCGGGGATTGAGCTCCCGGAGGAAATTCGACACATCATCTCTCTTCACTCCAAGACTGTACTTTTGTTTAAGTACCTGCCACATCGTGCGGTAGCCAAATAGTTGTCCAGGTCCACGAAGTTCAGATCTGATTGCGTTACTCACGGCGTTTGGAGAGGAATAATCCTTTCTGCGGTACATCCCGGCTTCGTTCAGTTTACTTTTAAGCGTCCTCAAGCTGATGTTTACACCGTGTAGACTTGACATCATGTCCACGATTACAGCGTACGAGTGACCCTCGTTAAAATACTGAACGCAATGATGCAGTATGTCTGGTGTTTCCGTCTGGTTCGCGTCCTTTAAAAACTCCAAACACCGACCGCACGTAAAGCAAAACCGGGTTAAGCTGCTCATGTGTTTACCACAAAACGGGCAAAACATCCCTCGGTCGCAGTCCATGTTCGGTCACCAAAAACTTAAATTCCTATATGCTTCATATTCACGCCATATTCACCACATTGAAAACACGAATTAACCGCGCTCACCAACAACACCTATCACCCGCGTTCACTCGTCACTTCCGGTATGTGGTACATTCCCTTTCCGTGAGGGATCGATCGTTTGTAAATTTGTTTCGGGACGGGTAAAAGTGTTTTGCGTCTTGCTAATTTGTTTTCTAAAATGTAAATTTGTTTTGTCCTTGGTAAAAATGTTTTGCCCTTGGTAAAAGTGCTTCGCCCATGTAATTGTGTTTTATGGTTGGGTAAAAATGTTTTCCAAAATGTAACTTTGTCTCAAGCTTTGTAAAAGTGTTTCAGTCTTTGTAATGTTGCTTTGCACTTCCCGGCCACCGTATGTATCAGAGAGAGCATGCGTCAAAGAGCACGTGTCAAGAGAGAGCATAAAGTGATATTGGTGTCGGGCTTGGGCAGAAAAATTGCAGAGGTTGTCGGCCTGGGGCCGGGTTAGGGTTAAACACTGTGGGCCAGATTCCAACTACGCCTGGAGTTGTTGTCACATGCAGGACTCTAGAATGGTTCCATTTGAACAAGGTAGTACCTGTACAAATTGTAAAACACTGAAACATCGAAATTCAACGCCATGCTAGTTATTAATACTACAAAAAATATTAATAAAGATGAATAAATACAGGGCACCACCCTGGAATCAGGCGCCAATAACAAAACGTGAAAACAACCTCAGAGTCCCACCTATAAATACCAATTTTTAAACAATATTTTACATTATGAGGTGGGCAGTGATGAAGGAGCGATCTTGTGAGGAGAGGATGCTAGGAAGTTATCCTTCTCTCTATGAAGTAAGTCATGCTAGGGATGGACTGGAGTACTCTGGGACTCCCGTGCAAGCGGCAGGTGAGGGCGTTTGTTAGTGAGAACTGAAAGGACTGTAAACTCAAAGGACTGTATTTGCTAGTTTAGGATGATTCGTGTTGTTCAGGTGGCATGGTTCAGCAGTTTATTTAATTTCTGTTGCCTTTATCAAAAGCCATGTTATACTGAGTGCAATACACATTACATAGCAAATGTTCATTAGTCACTGTAATCACAAAGTTAGATGCAGACACATACGTGCCTTGTTTGTTTGCCAAACATCGGAGTAATTGAATTTCCCCTTCGGGTAATAATCTCCATTTAGCGTGCTAATTGTTAGCATTAGTTACACTTACTTATGATCAGTCATGCACACAAGTGTTCACACAGGACTTAAGGCAATTCAGGCAACCAAGTCGCTAACTGTGATAACAATATGTAAATGAACTCCATGTTGTGGCTGTCCTAAAAGTCGCCAGAAGTTGCTAAATGCATTTTTGCTAAATTTGCATTATTGGCCATGTGCATGTCATTGTGATAGATGCTGTAGGAGAGAGGAATAATGTTGTGGGGAGACAAAAAGTGGGTTGGTTTTCATACTTGTTCAATGTGCCTTAGGCATGCTGCAAGGAGGCATGACGACTGCAAATGTGGCTTGGGCAATAAATTGCAATGTCCATACTGTGAGACGTCTAAGACAGGGAGACAAGAAAGACAGCTGATCGTCTTTGCAGTGGCAGATCATGTGTAACAACACCTACACAGGATAGGTACATCAGAAAATCATCACTGTGGGACAGGCACAGGATGGCAACAACAACTGCCCGAGTTGCTTCGAAAACTCATCATCGACACTGACAACAAACAACTCCCACATGCGTGAACTGCTATCACAACTAGAGATTGATGAGGTACAAAAAATGTTACGTCAAGGGGGAGGCAGGACGAAAGGTCAGCGGGGAGATGTCTTCATCATTCACACACTCAGAGATTGGGTTCTAACTACATTCTATCTCTACTAAAACCATAACCGAGACCAATGAGCTCATATATGCCACAGCAACAGTGATCCTAGAGATGCTTGATAATAAGATGAACACCATAAGCCACAAAGAGCATTATCCCCCATGAAGGAGAAGGCTAGAGGCCAAGATCAAGGCAACACGGAGAGAAGCTAGTCAGCTCTCAGATTTGCAGAAAGGTGCAAGGAAGGGGCTACCTTAGAAATACAACAAGCTGCCTATACCTGAGGCACTGGAGACTTCCCAACAAAGACTTATCGCTCTGGCTATCTAGTAAGGAGATACAAGGGAGAAGCAGAAGCCAGGAGCATAAACTGGATGTTCTCCACTGAACCATCCAAAGTGTACTCTCAGTGGCAGGGTAATAACACAAGATCAGATTCACCCAGGACTGAGATTGAACAGTACTGGAAGAACATATTGGAGAAGGAGGCATCACACAACACCAGTGCTCAGTGGCTAGTGGATCTAAGAACAAATCACAGCAATCTCCCAGAACAAGATCCAGTACCCATTACAATGGCAGACATCCAAGAAAGAGTGTCAGGTATGAAGAGTTGAAAAGTATTAGGCCCTGATATGATCCACACCTACTGGCTGAATAAACTAACTGCACTCCATGAACACCTGACAGCACACATGAACCAACTGCTAATGGATGGGACCCACCCAGAATGGTTATGATCATGAAGGATCCCCAGAAGGAAAACATTCTATACATCTACCGACCAATAACCTGCCTCTGCACAACTCCTGTCAGGCATCATAGCAGCTAAGATGAGTAGGCACATGGCTCAATATATGGACATGGCCCAGAAGGGAATGGGCAGTAATACCTGGGGAGCCAATCACCAGCTACTGGGCGGAAGAACTTGCAATCGAGACTGCAGGACCAGGCAGACCAATCTTTGCACTGCCTGGATTACAAGAAAGCCTATGAATCAATGCCACATACATAGATAATGGAATGCTTTGAAATGTACAAGATTAACAGGACTCTAATGGCCTTCATCAAGAACTGAATGGGGCAGTGGAAAACAAGTCTGGAAGCCAACTCAAAGCCAATTGCACAAGTCACCATCAAGTGCGGCATATACCAAGGTGATGCGCTATCCCTGCTGCTGTTATGCATAGGCCTAAACCCCCTCAACTAGAGTGGCTAAAGATAGCGGTTCCAAAGTTGAGTGCAAAGAATAAGCGAGACATCGACTCACTGATCCACACTACCAGGATCTACAGCAATGACGTTGGACTGTCATTCGGACTGGACAAGTGTGGTCGAATGGTAACAAGAGGGAAAATGATCAGAACCAAGGGGGTTGAACTACCAGAAGGCAACAATGCAGATGTTCAGAACAGCTACAAATACCTTGGGGTCATGCAGGTTAATGAAAACCATGAGGAGACAGCAAGGAAGTCCGCCACAGCCAAATGCCTACACAGAGTAAGTCAGCTGAATAGGAAGAACAAGATCCGAGCCATCAACACATACACCGTGCCAGTCACCAGATACCTCACTGGTATAATAAACTGGCCAAAGAAGGAGATAGAGGCCACTGTCAAGACAAGAAAGCTCCTCACAATGCATGGAGGGTTTCACCCCAAATCCAGCAGCCTGAGACTGTACACTAAGCAGAGAGAGGGAGGGGTAGTGAGTGTCAAAATCACTGTTCAGGATGAAACAACAAAGATCCAGGAGTACATCAGGAAGATGGCCTCCAAAGATGAAGGGTTAAGTGAATACCTCAGACAGCAGAAACCAGGCAAGGAGGAGGAAGAACCTTCATGGAAAGATAAACCACTGCACGGAATGCATCACCAACAGACAGAAGAAGTGGCTGATATCAAGAAATCCTGCCAGTGGCTAGAAAAACACTAACACTCAAGATCAATAGAGGGGCTGGGATCTACCTCACCAGGCAGGACCCCATGTGCAAGGATGCCCCTGAGACAGTACAGCACAGAAGGGTGTAAGATGCAGGCAGGAACAGCATACATGGAATGCCATAACCAGGTAGCTGGCATAGTGTACAGCATCATATGCCTTGAGTATGGGCTGGAAGTCCCAAGGTCAAAATGGCACCTCCTAAGGTAGTTCAGAGTCACAGAGCTAAGATCCTGTGGGACTTAGAGATCCAGACTGACATACTTGTGATAGCTAACCAACCAAACAACGAGTTGATCGACAGACAGCAGAAGAAAGCAGTAGTGATAGATGTAGCAATCCAAAGTGACAGCAACATCAAGAAGAAGGAACACAAGAAGCTCGAAAAAAATACCAAGGGCTGAAAGAGAAGCTGGAAAAGATGTGGAGAGTAAAAGCAATACTGGTGCCAGTGGTAATGGGAGCACTGGGGGCTGTGACCCCCAAACAGGAGAGTGGCTCCAACATATTCCAGGTGCAACATCGGAAGTCTCTGTCCAGAAGAGTGCAATCCTAGGAACAGGTCTCCAACTCCCAGGACCCAAGCTTGAGGATGACACGACTGGAACAAAATAGTCACATGACACAAGCAGTTGGAAGACAATAAAATAGGTTTATGGTGTAATATTTATAAAATATGTACAGCTTGTCCTAACTTTAAATACAGTGTTTCCCACAGGAGAGATGTTATCTGGCATTATCTTACAAGATGGTGGACATTTCATATTATGGAGCTGCAGTAAAGTCACCAGTGCAGACGTCATTCAAGACCATGTTGGCTTTGATCTA